CAAGAGAAATCTAGTTTTCATCTCTAAATTCCAGTGTAAAACGGTCATGTGATATCGAAGGAAAAAGGAGAATTCGAAAAACTCCATTTCCTTAAGTTTCGAAAATTTCAGCTTTAATACGAGATCTTTGAAAAATCGTATCTCACTCTTTACAAGTCCAAAATTAGAAAACTTGGTACCGTTGGAAACTTCTTCCAAAGTACTAAAAGTTTCTAAAAGACACTTTTCCATGATTTCAAACGGAGGGCATTCAAAAATTGGCTCGAAGTCACTGTTTTAGGCTTGCGAGACAGTTTTGAGGTTGGTTTTTCGCCAACTGTGGAAATTCGGTAAAATTCACAGAATTTGAACTAGCCTCTCAGATTTGAAACTCAAATAGACAAAACAAGCAGAACAAGAATCAAAGTTTTGAGCACCAAGTTATAGTAGCTCAAAGTTGCTGAAAAATTGAGACGGTTGGGCAAATTTCCATATTTAAATTACAAACTTTGGGACTTAGTTTGAGCATTGAAATGGACTCGGAATGGCACCAAATTTGGTATGATTATACTACCATATAAGGGCTATTCCTCTATCAAATTTCATACAAAAATACACACGAAAAGTTGGTTAACCAAATCACTAAAGTTTCAAAAATTCCAAGGCAAATCTGCCTTGTACATTTCGTTTTCCGTTTTCCGTTTTCAAAACGTTTGGCCAACAAAGTGTCTCAAACACGGTCCATCTGTGTAGGTAATGTCTAGAAAACATCCAAGATACATTTGGTAGGTGATTAACACCAAGAATTTCAAATTAACAAGTCCCAACCAAGATTTAGGCGTTTACTAGCCAAAAAGAGGGTTTTCAAACACCGAATCAGTTTCGAAATACGGCCACAATTCACTCAATTCAAATTGGAATTGAGTATGGTTGGTGGCGCTGAAAAATAAATTCATAAAGCTACAATTTCTCAGAAGAAATCGTTTTCAAAATCTGTCCACAACTAGCTCATATTTGAGCATCAATTTGCTGCTCAAAACAGAGCTTCCAGTGAACTAGCGAAACAGGACAGTCATGTTCAAACAATTGGTATGGATTACTCAGGTGGAATCATCGCGTCCATTTTATACTGTGGGAAATCTGGGAATGTCTAGTTTCCAGTGCCATAAACGGCACTCAATTTCGACATCGAAGCAAAAAGTTATAGCTAAAACAAAAACACTGCCAGAGCAATTACGGGAAAAATTTCCAGTTTTGCTGATTTCTGAAAACACAACATTTGGCCAACCAAATCACGAAATTTTTTGATGAAACTTTGTACACAACTTATATTACACATATACATCAGAAACAAGTCATTAGAACAATCGAAAAATGTACTAAAGGTCACGGGACAGACAGGGGCAGAAATGGAAAATTTTCCCTCTTCACATCCTTTGAGTTTCCACCAACAACACAACATTAATCCATTAAATTAAGCACTAAACCAACATTAATAACATCATAGCTCATCAAATCAGTCCATCCAACCATAGTGGGAGTTCATAGAGCCCACACAACAACTTTCCAACATAAACAAAGCTACCCACATGAAGATATAAACTTATAAGTGCTATATTACTTCCATAAACCAAAAATTTCAAGGTTGATCATTGATTACCTTAGTTAGATGAACCAGGCAGAATTTTTTGGTCCTATATGCTCAAGAAAAACCGTGGAAAGCAGCCCCTTTTCCTAGCTTGAGTTGTTCACCAAGTGATTAGCTAAGTGTAGTTAAAATTTGAGGTGATTTGGTGGAGATTTGAAGCAAGAATTGATGAAGGAAAATGGAGAACTTGGTCTTGTTCTTCCTTGGAGTTGCACGGCTGGAATGTGGAAGAAGAAAGTGACGTTGCAGATGAGGAAGCTTCCTTGTGAAGCTTATAAGTTTGTGGACAAGAATTGTTTCAAAAGTCAACTCTCCATCGCGGGCGTACGCGCGCGTTTCGTGCTCGATTTCTCTCGAGTTTGTTTCACTAGTGCACTAACCCTCTAATGCACTTCCATTCATACTATTATTATTCACTCTTAATAGTCTAAAAATAATGGTCTATAGCCCCTCAATTAATCGCGCGCGTAAAAACGCGTACTTCCGATTTAAGCGCAATAAAGTGAAATCTCCAAGGATTTCTTATAACGATGGTATAACTAACTATCACTTGAGTACTTAAACATAAAAAAAATACCTATTTCAAGACTAATGTACAAGTCTCCAATTTTTCCAAGCTTATTATATCCTCGAATCGATTATTGTCTCCAAACACGTATTCACTATTCTCACTTAACGAGCTTTCAAAAATTAAATTTTGAAACAAGTCACTTTAAAAATATAACTAAACTATAGATCCATATAATTATGTCTAAAAAGGTTAGAAAATAATATTCGGAGCAATTGGCCAAATAAATATTTAAATAAGCTAGAAATAGGAATTTAAAATAAGTAAATTTGCGAGTCCTCACATGAGTCTAGTATTAATTTCTCAAGTCTCCAATTTGTTGTGCGGTACGACTTTCGAGAAATTATCGACGTACGCATAATAAAAACTTTATTTAACTTAATCACATCTAATCTCTCAATTAACTCTTCTTAGTCCCCTATTGATCATCCTTAATTCTCCAAAATCATTGTACTCCCAGATCGACTATCATCTCAAAGGTGTATATTTGTTATTCCTTAATAAACGAGCCTTCGAAAAATTTAAATTTGTTAGTGAGACGTTTTTAAAAGTATAAATAAGACATGGTTCCATAAAAATTAATTTAAAATGGTTGAAATAAACTGTTCGGAGAAAACAGATGAATAAACATTTTGATAAGCCAGTAATATAAGATAAAATGAGAAAATTTTCGGGTCCTCACAAATTAGCTCTTGATCAAACCATTAAAGTTGTAGCTATTTGCATTAGCTTTCCAATGCATCAAGAATCATCTCATTTGGATTTGTGTAGGCTAATAAATGACCAAAATACCCCTGACTGGTTGATACTCTGTTTCAGCTCTTGACAGAAACTTTTCCCCACTATATTTTGACTTTTTGACTAGAAAACTCAATGAACCGGATTTTTATGTCTTCATATGAATTATATAGATATGTGTTAGCTTCAAAATGGCTCAAGAATCACCTCAATTTGATACTTATAACTCAAAATATAGCCAAAATGCCACGATGTGTCAAAGCTGTCATACTCTTTTTGCTTTGAATCTCTTCATATGTTACCAAAACCTACAAAACAACACAAATTTACATATTAACCCACACTTTTTCATGTTTTGGTTAGGAAACACTACTTGTATGAAAAGTAACTTATAAAGGAATTCAAATCTTCCATTTTAATTTAAAACACACCAAAAACTTAACCTAAAACTTAACTAAAAATAAGTAAAATAAAGGCTAATCAGCTATGTTCTTGTACATTGTTCAAAACTTAGTGAAAAGCTTGTTCCTACTTTTATCTTTAGACTACTGATTAGCTATCTAATTGATTAAGTCAATTTTGCTACTGAAAGTTTCTGGACAGTGGAGACAAGGGATGTGGACATTGGAGAGGAGAACCTTGTGGCATGTTCATTGCTGATCAAAAGGGAACAATCAAGAAATGATGCCTAGGACTAGGAGGCCAAGACACTATTGAAAAGTTGCTTTTCAAGTTTGAACCCTGTTTGTGTACTTGACTACTTGTATTTGAAATTTGGATTGAAATATTGTTGGACTATTTTTCGGTCATTCATTTATGATTTCGTTATTGTATTATTGGACAATTAACAACTGAGTTTGTTACTTTTAAATTCATTGTTGGACTAAAGAATTGTTAAATTAATTAGGTGCCAACTTGCAAGGCATTGTATGATGCTGTTATTAGGCTTAAATTTGATCAGAATAGGTTACAAGAAGCTGGTTCTATACCAATTTGAATTTCTAGAAACTTGTGTTGACCTCAAGCTGTTTTGCTAAGAGTTGATCAGCTCGAGCTATTTGTCGAGCTACTATCGAGCTTTATCTATTCTTTATCGATTTGAACTCGAACATGGTTATTCCTTGCTTGAGTCGAGTTGCTTACCATTTTCCTCGGCTTGTTGAGTTTGAGCTGAAACTCGAGCTCACACAAATTGGTCAAGCATCACTCGATAAGCTTAATACTCGACTCACCTTGAGTCATATGCTGCCCTAATATGAATAATAGGAAAAATTAGCCAATCAAATGCTAGTTAGAGCTAGTGATAAGACAAAGATCAAGAAAAAATTACAACAATGTTTTTTTGGGGTTGAGGATTTTCCACTTTTTTTCATCCCAATCCAATGAAAATTTAGCTTTTGTCCCTTTTTTTATGTAAAGTTTTTATGTTTCTTGTTTTTAATATTGGACCGGATTTATAGCTTCTGTATTGACCTTGATTGGCTTGAATTTTTTGTGTTAAAACTTCAATTAGTGGTGCTGTCATAAAAATATTAAATTGGATGTAATATTAAAGTTTCAACACTAAATTTGCCTAAATCAAAGTTTACAAAAAAAAGTAGTTTACATAAAAATGTTGAAAGACTAAATCAGTGATTCTCCTCGACTCTTTTAGCCCGTGTCTCGGTTGAATAGAAGCAATGTTTTCAAATCTGGACTATTAAGTGAACTAGATGAACTTTCAGTTCACAGTTTAACTCGATTCAATTGATTCAATCCGGTTGGATGACTTTTAAATTGGATGACTTTAAACTTAAAAAAATAGTATGAACTAATTCCATATGTTCCTTGAATGGATTTGATTGGTTCAATTGATTTTTTGAATTTAGTAGTGAATTGGAATGGTGCCATTAGTCAATCTGCAGCTAATCGGTCAAACTGACTGATTCGGTCTGATTTTCAAAATATTGAACAAAAGTAATGAAGTCTAGCTGCTAGCAGCCCAAGCAGCCAAATATAATATAGGCGCCCAACGAAAAGTTGATCGCCATTCGTATCAATTATCTAAACTCTTTTGTCACTAAGATCTTATCCAAAGCTATTAAATTCTGTATTGTCGTAATTAATCAATGAATACATCTAAACTGATACAGTTAAGCCCCAAACTAACAAAGGTAGTGTACAAGATCAGACGGGAAAGAGAAAAGACAAAAAAAGAATAAAAAGAGCACTAATTTATAGTTCATCATAGCTTCCAAGGACATCGAATTCAGAGTTGTTAGAAAACAAATCCGATGTTAGCAATTCCTGATAGTATTTCTCTTTCAATAACACATCTCCAAAAGAAGGTGCCTGCTCTAACAAAGAGTCCGAGCATGTAGGCGAATCCCGGTGAGGATCCTCCCCAGGAAATGATGGAAACAATGACAGATGATGCTGATTACGTTTGTTAGCATTGGTCATTGAGTTTGATACCCTATAAGTATCAGGAAGAATCTCAAATTCTTGAGCTTCTCTAGCATTATTATCCATGAACCGCGAGATATCAGATTCTCGGCCAGTGAGTTCTTGAACAAGAGTTCTGAACCTTGATGCACTAGTCTTTACCTTCATGGGGCTAGAAATGTAGACAACTTTAAGTAGTGAATCTGCAGATCTCTTCCTCTTGCTCTTGCTTCTGCTTTTCATTTGTGGCAGAATATCCATTTCTACAGCAGACAAGAAGCAACACAAAAAGAAAGTTAATTCAGATTCAAGGGGTACCTGCTTGGGGAAGACTGCAAATTCGGTATATTTTGGAAGTTGGAATATGAATGAACAATGTTGGTTATACATAAGGCTTAAATAGGGTATGGTTTTGGAGCTTTTTTAAGTCACGAGGGCTGCTGCTTCTTGGAAGGGAGTAAGATTGAATGCATTGAAGATAGAGCAAGACGTAAAGGTGGGAAATACCGAAATAGGAAGATGAAAGGAAAGTATGGTCATAGATGATTCTGTAGAGGTGCTTACATGACCCGTAAAGTCATGGTTACTTTGTCTGACTAAACTTAGATCGACTGATTGAGCCTTGGCTGAGGTGGTTTCATCTTGGCTCTTCAAACTGTGTTTTCGTTTCAATATGTATACAAGTAACTCAATACGGGTTGTCACTCAATACATTTTTTTAAAACACAGACTATGATTTAACAACAATACAACAACAATCCGCAAATAATAGGTTGAGATTCAAAAAATTAGAAGTTTTGAACTTTAAATTCCCTCTTCCTTCCTATTTTTTAAATTTTATCTTTTTCCTACTAAAAAAATTTAGAAAAAGAAACCGCAAATAATATGATTAAGACTAATATTTAGTTAGAATAAATTAATAAGTTTTAAAATAATTAAAATTTGATGCGAAGTTGAACCCGAACCTCTTATTAGAGCCTTAATCTTAACCACTCAAAACGTTTAATCGGCTTCAAGCTTGTTTGCTTAAAGACAAAAAAAAAATTAATTTAGCATACGATTCGATGTCGACCATTATTTATTGTTTACAGTTGCAGGTGCAAAGAGACAATCTCGTTTCAGTCCAGCTGTAGACAATCTCGCCCGTAGAGACCAATGAATGCTGGTAGAGGGAAACACACTCAGAGAGATACTAAGGAAAATCATCCTGGTTAAGTTTGTAGAATATCCCCACGTGCGCAGACATACACGACTGGAATCTACAGAGAGTTGATTAGAGCCCCAAGGTCTAACATGTGGGTACTGATGATTGGTTTTTCTTTTGCCTTTTTCTTTTCTTTTCTTTTGAGGTTGTACCGATGATTGGTTCTGACATGCAACTTGTTAAAAAGAGACTCAAAGTTCTCGTAAATGTAAATTAAATGATCAAATTCTCGATTAACATGTTTCTTTAATTTTTCTTAAAAATTTCACTAGCGAGTGCATAAACATTTTTCTGGTTCGGAGGTGATTCAATTTTCTTTAAATTCCCTATTGACCTCTTTGAATTCATCCATTTTCCTTAGTATAAAGTAGCAGTAAATGTAAAATAGGAATTATCAATTCAAAAAAAAAGAAAATATGACTTGCAACTTGGTAGATAGACCTTCTAGATTTTATTTTTTTTAGGATTTGTCTAATTGGTGTCAATTGAATACTCATTGAGACATAAATATATATATATAACATACTTTAGAAGTGAAATTTTTAAAAATGTAAAACTAATTACAAAAAATATATAAAAGTTAAAAGACGATATTAATTATTAGTGTATACATATGCATGACAGATTGAGTGAAATTTAAAAATTTAAACTAGTGGCCAATAGACACCCAATAGAAAAATCCTTATTTTTAATGTTTTATATATGTTTGGACCGCTGATTCCTGATGTTAGATAATGATATAAAGATATTCCAACTAGTGGGATGGAGCATGAAAGCGATATCCGAAGCTGAGTATGATGGTTCGCAAGTCTCATCAAGGTTAATATATAATTTTGCATTCAATCTATAGCAATACAAAATCACAAATGACAATCAAATTAAAAAGCTAGCGATTCAGCTTGACTTGATCAGTTAGAGTTTGTTCAAAAATACCCTAATTAATTATGTATCAATTTTAGAGGTGGCAAATCAACCCACTTAACTAAATTTATCCATACCCGCCCATGAATAGATGGGTATGGGTATCTTAAATTTTTGTATATGGGTATAAATGGGTTACCCAATAATACACATTTAATAAATGGGTATTATTGGGTAACCCATCAAACCCAATTAACCCATTTAGAATTCTCTTCCCCCCAAGTCTCTTCTTTTCCCCCACCTTTTTTTAAAAAATTTTTCATTTTGTCATGATGTTAACTACTTTTGTTTCATTATTATTATTATTATTATTATTTGTTGGTTTTATCTTATTATTTTATTTTCTCTTAGTTTGTTAACTTGCTCATTTTTTAGCATTACCAATTTATGATAAATTTTAGCCTATTTTCTTATCTTTATAAAATGAAATTTTAAATTTATATATGAAAAAATGTTAGGGGTTCAAATTTTTTGGATTAAGTTTTTATATTAATTTTTATAGTACTTAGTTCAAATTTTTATATTCTTATTATTCAATTATTAAATAATAGGTAATTTTGTGACATAGAGTATAAATGAAAAAAAATTGGTAATTAAGTTTATTGAACAATATAAGTAAATATTTAAAACTAATGATGAGAACAAAGAGTGGTATAAATTGATAACTTAGTTTGCAAAAATGAATTTAAATGAGTTTACAAAAAGTTAAAATAAATGGGTTATAAATGGGTAATTAGGTTACCCAATTCATTTTTTGACTTACCCATTTATACCCATCTAATTAAATGGGTATAAATGAGTTGACTTACTTATACCCATTACCCGTTTTACCCAACCCAAACCCACCCAAGTCACCCATTTTGATACCTCTAATCAATTTTGAACAATAACGTAATCAAGTATCAGAAGGAAATTAATTTGGAAAAAACAATCGCTAGCGCTGATTTACTTATATCCCAGAATTTTTAGTGCCCAACAGCTAGGCAAAATATTAAAAAATCATATGAAGAGATATGCTGGAAAATCCTTCGAAGCTAGCAGACGATTTGGCTTCTTTTGTAAATTGAGAAAAATGCAGTTTTGACACCCAAATTTTGACACATGTGCGGTTTTAATTCCCAAATTTTGGACAAAAACAAATCTAGTAGCCAATCTTTCAACTATTAAGCACATTTAGTGCTCTTGACGGATTTTTTCTAAATTACTACCAAAAAAAGTTACATGATAGTCATATGTCCGGTAATTATTATATAAAAAAATGCCAAAAAAGTAAAATATTCTTCTGACACTAAATGTCACGTAAAATATCCTTTTGACACTAAGTACTAAGTTTAAGGATTACTAATTTTTTCAAATAAAATATCCTTCTGACACTAAGTACTAAGTTTAATTAAGAACTAATAATTTTATCAAAAGGATATTTTATATATTTTGACAATTTTTTATTAATAGTTGCTAGACATGTGACTGCCACGTGACTTTTTCAAGTAGCAATTTAGAAAAAAATCATCAAGAGTATTAAATTTGCTCAAAAGTTGAAAGTTTGGATACTAGATTTGTTTACGTCCAAAATTTGGGAGGAGCAAAACTGCTCATCTATCAAAGTTTAAGTATAAAAATTGCATTTTTCTCGTTGTAAATTTTTTTGTAAACTTTCGCTAGCAAACATGTATTCGACTCAACCTTGGAGCTAGCGGCAATGAATTTCCATGCTGTTATCAGTTTGATAGAATTTGTTTTCCTTATATTAAATTAATTATTGTAAGAAAATAGTACTCTTTATTTATTTTTATTTGAGCATTTTGTATTTGAGGCTATGTTTGTCCCTCTCTATCCTCAATTTGTTATTATATTAATAAAAAATTAGGTTAGTATTCCCCACTAAGGGATTTTTGCTCACAAAAAAAAAAAAAAACGATAGCCTGGAAATGGAATAGAAAAACGAGGCTTCAACTGGTCAAAATAATAAATTAATGAAAAGACTTCACGCCTAATAATTTAACATTTATGGCAATAAGATGGTAGCAGGCCAAATTTAGGCTGCTAAAATAATAATTATCCCAGTAGTCCCACAGAATTTTTCTGTAAACTTTCGCTTTCACGGTTTATTCGGCAATGTATTACTGGGGCGGTTGTCCATCTCGTGCCTGGGACCATCACAATTGTCTTGCTATTTCATTCTGAACAGCTACTTCCAGAAACACGTTGCATATTTTATTAAGAAAAAAAGGGAAAATCTACATGTTGACGAAGACCTTGAACTGTGCACGACAGGTGTTGCTTATCCATTAAAGTATTAGCAATGTTTTAAAAATCGGACCGTTAATTGAACCGGTGAAGTGAAAGGGTCGAGGTTCAACCGGTCGGATCGGTTCAACCTCGGTTCAATGAATTTTTTAAAAAATAATTTATATAAATATATATATGTACAAAATAAGACATGTAATGGACTAATTTAATATTTTATATGATGAAAAGTTTACTATTTTTTAATAACTTGGATTTTTAAAAATAAATTTTTAAATTATAAGTTAAAACAAATAAATTTCATCTCAATTTCAATTATATCTAAATTCAACCCCAAAATATCACAATATTTTGAAATTATACAAAATTCATGTCTCTGAGAATTTAGATATTATGAACTTAAATTTTAATTTACGTTTTGGGATTTAGATATTGCAATTTAAAAAAGAAAATTTGGAGTTCGAAGGAAGTCAAGAAAATCGAAAATAGAAATGTAAACTCAATAAAAAAACAAAAAATAAGATAAAAGTGAGTGGTTGTGGCATTAAATAATTTGGGTTAAAAAAAATTCTTTTTTAACTTTTTTCAATTTAATGGACAAAAACAAAATTAAAAGATGGAAGAAAACATCAATAAATTAAAAATAAAGAGGTTTGATTAAAAAGGGAGTGACAAAAGAAAAGAGGATAGAGAGAGAGAGAGAGTTGAAAATTAAAAAGAAAGAGCCATGAGGAGATGAGATTTTGTAAGAAAATGGAAAAAAGAAATATGAGTGTTTGCTTTATATAAATAAGTTATCAAAAAAAACTAATAAGATGTGATGGTGCAACGGTTAATACATTGGTCTTTTATTACAAAGGTCTTGGGTTCGAATCTTGAAAGCTGCATTTTGCAAAACTTAAAAAAAAAAAAAAAAAAAAAAGAGGGAAAGCTGAAAACCGGAAAACCGCCGGTTCAATCCGGTTCGGCGGTTTTCACGGTTCAACCGGTCTTTGACCGGTTTTCTAGCAAAGTCAACAATGTGATTGAACCGGACCGGTGTCATGGCCGGTTCGCGGTTCAACCGGTCGAACCGGCCGGTCCGGTCCGGTTTTCAAAACATTGAGTATTAGACAAGATGTTTTTCACGTTGATATGATCATATAAACATATTGGTATTGATTCAATAGCCAGAGCTTGAGAGCTCTCTCTCTCTAATCAAATTTCAAGTTCCGAATCTCGTGTTTAATAATTGATGGTGAGAAGGATGTTAGAAGGAGAGGGAAGAGTTAGAAAGGAAAAAAAAAGAAGCTATGATCATAGCAACTAGGTAATTCTTTTTAGGTGAATTAACCGTTAATTTAGTGTTTCGAAGTTGTTGTATTTGGTCATCAATTAGTCAAAATGTTCTTTCAAGTCATCCAACTTTATTAATTAAAGAATTTACTAAATTATTTTGGGCTTGTGCAAGGTGTGAGGGTGCCATTCTTTCACTGAATTTGGTTTTATTATTGTAAACGAAGAATTGGAAATTTTGTTTTACGGGCTAATAAAAGAATAACTGAACAGAAGTCTAGGAAAGCCTAGTCACTAGACAAGTACGAGGATGTGGTCTTTTGAACGTCAGAAATTATGCACCTTGGAATTTATGTTGAAGGTTTCCAACATCAAAATTTTCTACGTGAGACAAACCATTGATTTGCTTAGAAGTTGAGGTATCAAAATGAGTGGGTGGAGTGGGTTTGGATAGATCATAATTAAGATATAGATATAATTGGATTAATTCATTTAAATAAATGAGTATAAATGGTTACACATTTATATTTATTTAAGAAATGGGTATGGTTATAGCCAATTACCCATTTATGAGTCATTAATATTCTACTTTTTTTAAATTTTTTTGTATGCCGTTTGGTAAGAAATAATAGTATTTTTATTGTTATTAAATTGATAAGAAATTAAAATTTACCTATTTAGCATTTACTAAAAGTTGAGTTCAAATATATAATTATTTTTAAATGATTATAAATGGGTGAGTCAAGTTAATCTACTACCTACCAATTAAATAAGTTTAATTGAACACCTATTTAGACTCATTCAAAATTGTGGACGAGTTTTGGGCAGGTTATTAGTTAGCGGGTTTGAACGGGTGAACATAACTGGACTGTGATACCTCTACTTAGAAGTTTCAAATTTAAAAGGATTAAATACTTCCAAGTGGCTCAGTTTTTGAGTTATTGCATCAATAAGTAGTAATTTGATAACTTTAAAGTGTTTACATAATTCAATTAAAAATGTTTAAATAATGAATACTAGGATTAGAATTAGGAGGTTTTGATATTGAAGGCTTGTAAGTGACTTCTTCGGATTTTTTCTATATTTGCTAACTGAATAATAGATACAGTATGAAAATATTTGGTTAGTGTTATTTTGCTGACTCGTTTGGAAGATGAGTTTGTTGGGTGTTTGTCTAAAATTTTACTGTAACTTACTGTAGAAGTTTTTTTTTTAAAAAAAATTGAAATGTATTTTTTTTAATATTTTGAATTATATAGTTTAAAAATTTTAAAATTTTTTTTGAGGTTATTGTAGCAAAAAAAGTTGACAAAAAACTTGGCTTCCAAACAACGTCTTCCTCCTTTTTCGTAAGTACTTTGTCATCATTAGATGGTGACATGACAGGGGAGGAAACGACTATTTGATTATGATGTGCAAGTTTGATTTCTTCTAAAGGAGGACGGATGGAGGGAATAAATGTTACGAATTTATGGAATACTATAATCGAATTGGTGTGAATACTATGAATTCGTTGGAACGTACTAATCCATATCTGGATTTGACCAATTATAGAATACTACAATCGAATTGGTGTGAACAAATCCAAACAACATGAACAGGATTGCCCCAACCTCAGTGTAGTTATAGTCATTGTTAAATCTAGATACAAAGGCACCATATTCATACTTAGACTCGTACCCAAACCCTAATGACTTTGATAAAGAAGAGTCAAGCCCTAATTCGTATACTTGTAAATATCCAAAAGAGCAAATTATCTGGTTGGCCACTAAACTTTTACAATCATAGAGTTTTGGTCACTCAACTGTTAAAAGTCTAGTTTTGGCCACTAAAATGTATAAAATTAAAACGCGAGGCCGTTATTAGATTTAGCCGTTAAGTTCGCTGATCTATCTATCCGCACGATTTCCAAGACAAAAGGCAGGGTCAATTTAGAAAGTTCAACATATATCTTCTTCTTCTTATTGTATAAACCTAAAGAAGGCAGAGTACCTGAGAAATTACAAGAGAGAAGGAAATGGAAGAAGCCCAGCTTGGATTAGAGGAAGTAGGACCAAACTCAACGCCACCAAGAGCCGTGCCAGCAAGATCCATGCCGCCTACATCGATGCCTCATTTGCCTACTTGTGTTTGTGGGATGAAGACAGTAATGGTAACTTCATGGATTGCACAAAATCCGAGAAGAAAATTTGCCAAATGCGCATTGGAGGAGGTGGGGTGAGAAAATGGGAGGGGAGGATGGCGGAGAGAGAGAGGGAGAAGGTGGCTATGGGTAAATGAGGAGGTGGGATTGAGGACGGGGCAATGGCCAGGTGTTGTTGGTCTTCTCCGGGGGTGGTTTGGCAATCTGGGTTTTCTGGGATTTGGTTCTTTTGGCTAGAGTTATCCATTTTCTAGGATTTCTTCTTCTATCTATAATCTATGGGTGAGAAAAAAGGAGGAGGGAAAAACAAAAAGGAGGGTCTGAGGTCTAATAAACTCTTAAAAGGAGGTGAAGTGAAGACTAAAGATGAGGAAGATAATCTGATAAGACCCTCCTGGTTTCTTCCCCTCCCCCGGAGAAGGATTCTGCAGTTAGAATAGATTTATTTATTTATTTAGGGGCAGGTAGAATGGGGGGTTTTGTTGTTGGGTATCAGCTATTTTCTATGTCTTTGTAGCCGACGGAGGCAGGTTGGTTGGTGGAGTGTGGAATGGATGGATGATGCAACTGGTTTGGTTTGGTGCGGTGAATTAAAATCTGCGGCCATTGTTGTCCGTTGCACGCTTGTAGTATTTATTTACTACTCACGGTACTAACTTTTGGTTAAAATGTCCAAAGTCAAAGCAGTTGCACTCCTCATTCTCCACATTTCTCCCGGTGCATATTCTGCTGCCGCATATTCTGCTATTGCTGCTGCATATTCTGCTGCTGGTGCTGTTGTTGATAAGAAGAAGAAGATGCATGTTGAACTTCCTAAATTGACCCTGTCTATTGGCTTGGAAATCGCGCGGACAGACAGATCGGCGAATTTAACGGCTAAATCTAACAGAATGGCCTCGCATCTTAACTTTATATATTTTAGTGGTCAAAACCAGACTTTTAATAGTTGAGTGACCAAAACTCGACGATTGCAAAAGTTTAGTGTCTAACCGGATAATTTGCTCTATCCAAAATAGGCATCCATGTGTAATCATGTAATGTTAGTATGCATGTCCTAGAACTTAAGGTTTGTTGATGGAACTTAATTATTTATGTTTATTGAATAACACTTTATCTTATTTAGGGATGGCAATGGGCACTCACACCACGGGGGTAAAAATGGGGCGGGGCGGGGCCAAAATATTTCCCCCCACTTTAAAATGGAGCGGGGGTGGGGCAACATACACCCGCCCCATCCCCCGCATGCATTTAAATATATATATATATATATATATATATATATATATATATATATATATATATATATATATATATATATATATACATATATAAAATACAACCCTAAATTTTTCAATCTTGCATCCTCACTTACAAAGGCCAAAGCTGGTCTTTAAGTCGCACCGCACCGCTACAAGCAACAAGCCAACAACTGAAAGAATTGGATCAGTTCCATGAAAGAATTGGAAGTGAAAATTGCAGTGGGCCAGTGGCGATTGATTTTATACCAATAGTAAAATAATGCTTTCAATTAGTGAACGGATTAGGCAGCTCGTTCCATATCTTCTGCCTAACAAGTAAAATCGGGAACCCATTGTTTGACTATGTTGAGCATATCCATCTGCATCAGCATCCTTTCAAGAATGGCCAACTGCAAACGATAGAGCATCTTTAAGCTACGACAATCAAAGGGTACTGCTTCTAATTCTGTTCACTAGTTTTCAGTAGGATGGTTGTGCATATGTTTTTAGTGCTATTTTTCTGAAACCATCTCAAGTTTTTGTTTCTGGCTGGACTTTGACATCTCTTGTGTAGCACCTATTTGAGACCACATTTCAGTGGTTTGATGATGTTCTCTAGGATTCACCAGTAGGCTATTTCCTTGTACTAGCGGCTGCATGTTCTTCTCCTTGGACTATTTTTTTTCCCTTTTTTCTTTTCAAGTAAATGACTTCTTCTTCTTCTTTTGGTAAGTCGAATTTTTTCCCTGCAGTGAGACAGGGCGGGGGTGGGGGGCAAGGGGCAGGGGATGAGGGGAGTTATTTGACAACGGGGCGGGGGACGGGAGAAGGATCCCCCGCCCCACCCCTGCCCCATTGCCACCCCTAATCTTATTCATTGTATTGTTATTTCAATTAAATAGATAAACTACTCAAAATAAACATATACCTAGATATATGTCATCACAAGTGTTATGATAAACTTCTCAAAATAAACATATACCTAGATATATTTATTCATTGGCGCACCGTTTCAATAAAGAATAGGAGGGTTTGGCCCAAATACGATTACCTACAGAATCCAGAGAAAACGAGCGCAGTTTGGTATGGGGCTTGTAGTGACCTACAGATTTGAATGAGCTGACTACGTGCAGAATCCCCTATTCTGCTTTTCTCTGCTTTTTCTAGGTCCTTTCCTCAAGGACGACCAAGGGCCAACAACTTCAGCATGATTCTTCCAAGAAGGGCGAGGCGGCCCCCAGTATTCCAAAGGAAAAGACTTAACATATAAAGAAATTTCCACTTTTCCTATTCCCGCGGTGGACGTGTGCTCGGTTGAAGCTGGATTTAGAAAGAGTGGGGCACTTATGTTTACTAAACGAGCAGGGTAGTACCTTAACTAAGTTCTTGTCGATATTAATATACGGGATATTATTAATATAAATAGATTAGCACATATTATATTTCTTGGTCTTGAAGGTTGTAGTATACCTCATTTGCAATGATGTCAAAACTAGTTACATGAGTGTTTAATAAGATAATCAAATTCAATAAATTGATGTGCATAGAAAATATCATATAAATAACTATTTAAGTATTAATGATATACTCTCTATATGTCGTACGTATAAGTGATTCTACTACTTAAATTATTATAATATTTAAATATGAATTATTATATTTTGACTCTCTTGATTATTATACATATTAGAGTAACTATATCATTAGAGATTGGATAAAAGGGTGACAATGAAAGCTAGTGTCAGCGAGAAACTAATGGAATGTGATAAGGCTAGGATGGGATGGGGCAGGGGATTTTTCTCCCCCGTCTTAAATGGGGCGGGTGATGAGAGAGGATACACCCGGCCTGTCCCGCTCTATCGCACATGGAAAAAATTATATTACATACAAAACATAATAATTATAAATTCAAGATTTAGCTTTGTTATGATTCATTGGATTTGAAAGGATTTAGGATTACTCATTCTACCTTGCCCATTTAACAAATACAATTATTTATTTTACTACTCAACTGCTGGTATTATTATGTAATAAGCGTTATATATTGATTTTTCCCCCTTCTCGTCTGTTTGTTTTGTAGCCCTTTTGATAGAAGCTGCTTTATGTGCATGTTTGTTGATTATAGTTGGGTGGAGATGATGTTACTTCAGTAGTACACCTGGGTTCCTGGTTAGGCCAATTTATACGTCTTTGAAAACTTAAAGCAGTTTCATGTTGTTGGAAGGATCTTACGTTGTACTGGTGTCTTCCCCTGTGGGCACTCACCGGAGCAGGGGCAGGGAGCACGAGGCGGGGCCGGGGGCAAGGATGGGGAAAGTTATTTGACAATGGGGCAAGGGGCCTCCCACTCCAAAACCCGACGGTTACCATCTCTAATTGCTTATAGCATGAAGTACAAAAGGATAGTGAGTAATCTAATCTATAAGGATTCACCATCTTTATTAATAATAGAGGAATTATTTCATTATTAGCCACTTATTAAAATATAACTTGAAAAATTTTAATACTAGGAGGACAAATCTTAAGTATGTGTATCTAAGTATATATTTATTAAGAGTTACATTTTGGTAATAAGAAGATGATTCATCACATTAGAGTTGGCACATGTTTCATACCCTAAATTAATGTGAGATAAATTTAATAAAGGATAATAATTATATGGTGAACATGAATGGAAAAGTGAAATCATCTACTTGAATTTTTCTTTATACTTTGGTGGCCATGATGTTTTATTAAAAGCCAATCTTGATCTATAAATGTAAGTTAGTCAATTATGGTTAATCAATGATAATTTAAAGTGGTTTAATTTATCTAATTCTTGTGATTAAGAATTCCAATTTTTACTTATTGCCACAAGAATTCCAATTCTTGTGATTAAGTCACACACATTAAGATTTTCTTTTGTATAAAATTAAAAGATACTCAATTTAAAAACTTATAATTTAATTCGTTAGACAAATTAAACTTCAACGGATTATTATGTAGGTATGGATAAGTCTTCTAAAACAAGAGTTATATTAGAAAATGAAAACTAAATCCTATTGGAAACTAGTTATGTATTTCCTACTAGAATTAAATTCTTTATTTGTCTATATATATCGTCATAACTTAAAACAATAAGATATAAATTTACACAGAAGTATGTGATATTTTAGAGCAAATCTAGGGAGAGAAAAATACCAAATTTTGGCCAGTCAAGAGAGAAGAAATCGGTTATTTCTCTCCTCATTCTCTTGATCGGATTCCTAGTTGACGAACTAGGATTTCTTGTTTTCCACATGTTCATCAACTCGTGAGATTTATTCTTGATGGAGAGCTAGTACTTATCTCATTATAGGTGAAACTACATAAGAGATTTCTTGCATTAGAATTCGTGTGGATCACCATTAGAAGTTGAACATGTGCATAACTTGAGTAGATTATACCAACTTTGGCCTCAAACTTAAGAAGATCTTCATTATTTGAAAGTAATCTTCTTAATTACTTTTAACCCCATAGAATCTAACCAAAATGGATATGTTCAAAGGGATCAAAATTTTAGTTTTCTGCTGCTTATACCTGCCAATTTTTCACTCGTAATTCTATAATGTTGGACAAAATTTTATAAATTTGAGTTGTAGAAAATTTCTTTCAATCTCAGGGACACGTTGAAGGCATTCCAATTTTTTGTAATGGCATTCGAACGTTTCAAAAAAAAATAGTGGGAGTGATGTTATAATAGAATGGAGTACTAATAACAATTGTCTTATTTTAATTTAGTTTACGTATTTGTCTATGTTTGAATATTAACACACATAGATACATCATTTGTGACTCCGTTTTAATGTGGATGATTTGTGACTCCGTTTTAATGTGGATGTCTGTGAATGTGTATGTGATTATGCAATTTAATTTGCTTATGAATTAATTAGTCAAATTAATGGGTCTGGGACTGAATGTAGTGATAAACTTTATAAACTAGATTCCATTCTGAAATTTGATTCTCTTGCAGAGTATTGAGGGTAAAAACTAAAACAAATAAATACAGAAAGCTCCCTTAAATTTATGGCAATAGCATTTAGCTCTCCTGAGGTTTCCAAAGTACCAATTACTTCCCTTGACTGGAAATTCTATAACATTCTTTGGATCATTTTTAAAAGATGTAACCGTAAAAGGAAAACCACACAAATGGCCCTTTACATTTGAGTTTTGTTGTTTTTAAGTCCCTTATTTTTAAAATGATGAATTCAGGTCCATTACATATGAGATTTTATATTTTTTTTACTCCCTCACTTTTACAATGGTATTTTTTGGCCATTCACATATTCAAAAAGCAGCATTTTCATCCCTATTATCATTTGCAGTTGTATTTTCATTTTTAATT